ATGAAACTTTTTATGTAGCGTAATTATAACCTAAATTAGCTGAAAATAACCCTAGAACCTAGAGTAAACTCTCCCTTTAAGATCTTTAGTTTTGAACTTCAGACTGCGAACTCCCTCATTTTGCTGCGGACTCTCTCTTTTTGAGGGCAGGGAGTCCGTTGGACTCTCTTGTTCACAAGTAAATTTCTACCCCTGCACATATATTATTTGCAGCCTAATGTAAAACTATTTTGATAATTACATCATGCTATTTATACATTCCTATTATTTGAAGAAAATATATACCAATAATACACAATCTTATAGGATTTGAGAGAATGAAGTTTCTACATGAGCCAAAATATGTTATCTGGTTATTTCTCACATGCATGAGTAGTCCGACAAGGCTGTGAGGCTACCGTCAATATATATGTTCTGATCTGCTCATTCACATTCTGTCATGCGTTCTGGTCCTCGGGTCTTTTGATATATTACCGTTTCACGAGGCGGATGCATTCATGAGTGGATGGAAATAAATAAGTAACAATGTTGTTTAGGATAACAACGCCCATTCCACGTAACTAATACGTGTTTGAAATGTCTGCCATAGGGAAGCAGTGCTGTCAGCCCTCACTGCCGCCACAGGGTTGCTATGCATAGCCAGACTGATTAAGTCTCACATGGTTAGACATCATCATATTCATCTCTACATAGTGTTCTACTGCGCTGCCTTTGAGTGCATGTTATTGTAAGTACATACTGTGTCTTACTGTCAAAGAATTTTACCATGTGTGATCAGTAAAGTTCTGTTTGTGATTGGCGAAATTTTTACACTTTAGTCTTCAGTTATTAGTTCTGGTTTCCAAACAGACCGTGATAATAATTTTGCCCTATAAAAGTTTTTACCTGCATGTGGTTGTGGCACAATGGATGCAGCCTATATGTCCAAATTAGCATGAAGTATTAAAGCATACAACTCAATGCAGAAGTGACTGCTTTCTGTGCCTTAACTTAATTTGTGTGACATTATGCAGGGTAATCCACTGGCTGTGGGTGAGTGCATTTGCCCAGCTGGATTTTGCTGCACAGTATCTGAAGTTGGTGCAGTTTCTGGCCGTTTGCCATTTTCACTGGACGCTAGCTGCTAGAATTCTTCATTTGGAGTACCTTTCCAAGTACAGTGCTTTACTCTAATCTTACTAATTATAGTTCACTGTCATGCTGATATTTATTATAAATTTTTCAGTCATCAGTGATACTCAGGTTTATTATGGGTTGCAAAGTTGTCAGACTTGCTTGACCTTTTATTGTTGACCATTATTTTGTTAATTTTTTATAGTAATCATATATCATAACATCATAATATTCGACTTGAAATATATGCTCCAGGTACTTAGCATTCTTTGGTGCACATTTTAAATTAAATTCAGTAGAGAACCACTAGATCGATGTAGATGTAAATATTGTGAAGCTGCACTTTAATATATCGTGCTGTTCTTATGATTTCAGAATAGTGATGCCTGCGATACTAGCTTCATTGATGTACTTCACTACTGTTGTCAGCGTAGCAATCATTGTTGCCAAGAGCACTTGGACAGAATGCCTTGGTGGGTTTACGTGTTTGGTAACATAATTGCTACTTCGATAGACAGTGAAACAAAGAAGGCAATGAAACAATTACTGAGTAGTTCAGTTTATTGCTTAGCTCATTCCTACAGATCTGGTTCTGGGTAATAATGTAGAAATTATTATCTCTTTTAAGTTGGAAGTGGTACAACACCATATTTATTTCAATAGAAAATATGTGATATGCCTAAATTTAAGTTGGTCTTAGTGTGGTCATGAGCATTTCCCCATATACTTTCTATAAATTGATATAGGTACAATAATTTGCTAAACAGGTAGATCTAGGTTAATATGATGGATGACCCATGAGATATGCTTGATGATAGTTTACAGATAACTATAGTTTAACAACTCATACATATGCTGTTGTACATAATGAAAGTGTCAGTGACACTGTATAGCTCACCTTGGGTGTGATGGAAGAGGGAGGGGGGATATATAAAGCAAGAGTATATATGGGAGAACTCCCATTATATTATATAGCATATCTCCCATTATATACTCTTGATAATGATATATATGCATAAGTTCAAGAGCTAATAAATACCTAGAGTGTACAACGGGAAAACGGGAAAATAGTGCTATTTCACGGCAATATTATTCTACTTTGTATGCGGTTCTAGACTAAGTTCATGGTATTGCGTTAAACAGAATTCTTTGCTCTCTAAAATAAGACCAACCGCTTGTCTCTACGATGCTCCTAGGCCGAGATATTGGAGCGTAATTATGCCTCCCACAGGCCTCACGCCGCCTCGCATCCACAATATTCACTATTCTTCTCGCCTTTTGTGGGTCTCGCTATCGTTTTCCGTCGCCGCTTGGAGCACTGATAATTGATGTCACATGCCCAAATTTGGTACTCTTACTACACCATATAGTAACTGAGCTGCATTGTAGAGACTTAATTTAGAAAACATTGCCAGCTCCATCATGACGGGCATTAGCCGTGCTAGGAAAGATAATGGGAGATAAGGGCATAGGCGATGCCCCCGAAAGTCACCGTGATAACCGAAACGCCGTTCATTCATAAAGTTATCGCGGAAAAAAACCGAACTCTCACAAAGCGACTTTCCTAACCCGCAAAAGTCGAGAAGGGTAGTGAATATTGTGGATGCGAGGCGGCGTGAGGCATGTGGGAGGCATGATTACGCTCCAATATCTTGGCCTAGTAGTATCGTAGAGACAAGCGGTTGGTCTCATTAGCTCACCTTGACATCGTCAAGCTGAGCTATTGCCATGGGTCGTCGTCCGTCGTATGTCCGTCCGTCCGTCCGTCCGTTCGTCAACATTTCGCTTCGGTCAACGATAACTCGGGAACCGTTTGGCCCACATGTTTGAAATTGGGTATAGTTGTTACTGCTATGCTCCCATATTACACGTCCTATTTTAAAGCACGCCAGTCGACGTACTTTCGAGCCACGGCAATTTTTTGGCAAAAATTGCAATTGCCATTAGTCTGTTCAGGTTCAACAGATTTTGCTCATTTTTGGTATGTGAATGAATAAGGGCTAGGGGTTTTGATATTTAAAAAAAAATTATGCAAATTAGGTAGGGTTTGGCAATTATATAGCATATTATATAGACACAAACAGTCTGGGGTGTCACACTCGTCTGGTTCGTTTTACAAGATTTCATTGACAATATCTTTAATGCAAAATTGGTATTTCCTCTCCACCCTGCCGATAAAACGTCTATATTAGAGTAAAGTAAAGATTTACAAAACATGTCGGAACGCAGCATAACCTATTTATTTCAAACGCCATCGCTACAAAGTGGGTATAGCGCCATCTACGGTCACAAATTGTGATTCATTTTGGTTTATAAATTATTATTGCGATATACAGATGGCAATCGTTTCTATGATGTACGTCGATGGTTGCTCAATTAAAACTGACTTCATCTTACTAACTCATTTGTGTCCTTTTTTGTGGTGAGCTACAGTGTCATTGACACTTTCATTTTAGAGAGCAAAGAATGCTGCTTAACGCAATACCATGAACTTAGTCTAAAACCGCATACAAAGTAGAATAATGTTGCCGTGAAATAGCACTATTTTCCCGTTTTCCGTACACTCTAGTTATTTATTAGCTCTTGAACTTATGCATATATCATTATCAAGAGTATATAATGGGAGATATTCTATATAATGGGAGTTCTCTCATATATACTCTTGCTTTATATATCCCCCCTCCCTCTTCCATCCCACCCAAGGTGAGCTTCAGTGTCATTGACACGTTTTCCCGTTGTACACTCTAGGTATTTATTAGCTCTTGATAAGTTTTGATACGAAAATAAATGTTTCATATCTGAAAGTCTGAAATCTTGATGAGAGATGGCGCTACGCCTAAATGATCGCCATTTTGGTTTTCGAATATCGCGCAAATAAAAACAATAAAATATTGCAGTCAAATTACTGTAACGAAGAATCTAAAACACAATATTACACGTATATAGGTATGATTGTAGAGTTGTTAACCAGTTAGACGAAATAAACGTAATAGGACGTTGTCATCTCTCCCATAGGAGTAACAACTGTATGCAATTTTAAACATGTGGGTCAAACGGTTCTTGAGTTATCGTTGGCCGTAGGCAGACACTGAAATGCATTTGCATAATTAAAAAATATATCAAAACCTGTATGATATGTTTTGGGGCCAGTCCTCATTCATTCACATACCAGAAATGAGCAAAATCTGTTGAACCTGAACTTGACTTATGGCCATTTCCATTTTTGCCAAAAAGTGGACGTGGCTCGAAAGTAGATCGACTGGCGTGCTCCAAAATAGTACGTTCAAACCTCTCTCATAGGAGTAACAACTATATGCAATTCGAAACATGTGGGTCAAACGGTTCTTGAGTTATCGTTGACCGTAGCCAAATGTTGACAGACGGACGGACGGACGGACGGACGACACCCCACAGCAATAGCTAATCTTGACGATGTCAAGGCGAGCTAATAAAAACAGTTTTCATACAATTCTCAGCTTCAGATTTAGTTTTGTAAATACTGTCACCACCATCAAACGATATATATGCTGGTGTTTCAGAACCGTGGTGGTTGATGCTGTCTGCCCCTGAGTTTATCACAGTGCAGTTCTTCTTCATCGCTGGGATCTACATTACTCGGAAGCTGAACAGAGTTAGCATGATGGAAGATGTAAAGAAGAAACAAAAGTTGGACTTGTGGAGGTACGGGATTGACTGTTCGTATTTCTTACCTCATATTTATGTTAACTATGCTTATATCACAGATTAATAATTAATATCACAGCTTAATAATTTGATGCAGGTCAACATGAAATCTAGCAGGTCACCCTGATAGAGGGACAGGTGCATGATCACATACCATCCCAATTCTAGTAATGAATCTGCATGCAGCAAGAGATAGAAAATGCATATGTATGTGTGATATAATGTGATCACATTTGAATGCTTTTTTAAATAAACATGCTATCTTTCTTTGTTTCAGCGTTATTGTGATTTTTGAGCTATCAGCGACATGTTGCTTGGTTTATGATGCTGTAATGCAGATCAGTAAGTGCAGCTGAAGTATATTCATGCAACTCAAGTTTACTTATCATAGAAATTTCTTATAGGCACCATTTCATATTATTTTAATTCTGAGGCGATGATTTTAGATGTGCAAGAATTGGCCAAATGGCTTTATTTGTAAAACGTGCATACCATTTCTTGTAAATTTTTAGCTGGCAATCACACCAACGGATGCAGCAGTATTTTTGTAAGTATCTAGTTTATTTTGTTAATTTTGTTTGCCTATCTCTGCCTGTTATACTTCAATAGTGGTATCGTCCTGATAAATGAATGCATTTAAATTGCATATAAAGAATGTCAATATAGATTTTTCTGTATTTTATAGTAATTGTTAAGACATCCATGTGCAGATGTAATTGTGTGCTTGTAATATGGGAAGTGTGATCAAAATGATTGAAATCATCACATTCATCAGGTTCATTTTTTATGCAGAGTCATAACCAAACCATCTACTCATTGGTGTTTTTTGGCTTCATGGTGAGTTTGTGCTATATGCATTTAATCAAGATCTAATAATACAATAAGTGTATTTAATGGGAAAACCAGGAAATAGTGCAGGAAATATGGCAAAATTACTCTTATTTTAAATGCTGGTCTGAAACAGTATTGGGTTACCAAGCATTCTTTCCTCTATAAAACAAGACCAACCACTTGTCTCAGTATCAATATCTCAGTAACTTGTTTTAGACCAGCATTTAAAATCGAGTAATTTTGCAATAAAGTAGCACTCTTTCTCCATTTTCCCGTTAAATACACTATGTACTATTAGCTCTTGATTTAATTTTTAATTCAGGTTTTGGTATATTCTACTTTGATGACACCAGCAGCTGAGAAATTAAAACTGCAAGTCATTCTGACACATGTAGATCTGCATCACAGGTATAATAATCCGCTGATGTGTGCTAGTAGATTGTTTTCAAGCAAAATTTTAGTACAAGTGGCGATTAACAATGTTAAAACATCTTTCAGCTGGTGAAGTTCATGCTACCACTCTGGGTGATGCTGTATGTATTCCAGCCTACCTTACATTTGCCACCAGTCTTTGAAGAACATTCAGAGCAACAGGTAAGATGTCCAGACATGTTTATTGAGGCACAAAAGAGTTAAAGTGGTGATTTTAAGTGGAATAATATAGATTTGTATTCTGTAGTTCATACACTATGTGCTTCTGTGGTATAGAATAGGGATGTTGCATGGTGGCATGTGACAGTTAAGTGACTGTTGAACTCATTTATTCCAGACACACAGGCCCACATTTAACTACCAGTCTCCGTACCAGCCGTTGGATGAGACAGCACGCGGAGTCAGTCCTGCTCCTACCCCAGTTCTCCAAGGGTGGGAAACAGAAGCCAACGAGAGGTCACCTTTGGTTCAGGGTAGGCCATGATGATGAAAACAGTATGCGCAAGTCCGTCACAGAGTCACGGTAACATCCTGTCATCCCGGTGCAGTATGGTTGCAAAATCAATGTGAACATGGTGATTGTTAATTGTTAACTATGCTAAAGATCATAGAAGTACTTTAGCTTTTGGCATGTTAACACGTATGTGATTCACATTGCAACTTAGTGAACTGTTAACGACTCAATTGAGAAAACATTATTTCCTGGCAAATGCTATTGATAAGGAAATTAAAACTTCACATAGGTTCTAGTTTAATGTCAGAATTAATTATTATGTGGCTGAGCCATCAATTTAGTTTTTACACTGTAAAATATAAAACCTAGATTAGGTCACAACTTTGTTATGGAATTCACCCACGATATAGCTTATAGAGATATAATTATTTTAATGATTGATATATATTATATATATTATTATACATGTTAATATATATTGATATTTTTGAACGTCAGTAAACGGAAATGCACCAGCTATAAACTGTTAGCGGATGGCTAATGAATTAATGGTCATTAATCTTTGCATAGCTTGAATTGCTGGTACAAATTGTTGGCGAGTCACAGTTGCTGTTCAACTGCACTTGTACACATATACCTGCATAGGAACCTTATTGCATATATGTATATACATGTAAAACACGTGTACAGGCTAATTATTAGTTACAATAAGTTATGATGTTCTTATATTTTAGCGTGGTTTTTAGGTTTTCCTGGAAAATGATCAAACCTGTATATGATACTGTTGCTTAAATAGGTACTGACATATTGGTTGATGGGTATGTTGATTCCATCATATAATCAGTAAATATGGTCCTTGACTATGTAAATTTACTTAATTTCACAAAGTAACAAATTTATGAGCCGTATTGTCATCATATGCATTGTACAGTTGCAATACAATCATCTTTCTATATAATATGGGTGATACACAATTGCTGGCTTACTCGTTTTATCCACAATAGAAAAATACAATATCTTGAACACTTATGTCTATTTCCAGTCTAATGCTATATAATAAAAAGACGTCTATTACATGATAGCATTTATACAAATGTGGACACTCACACGTGTCCAATTAGGGATTGTCTGACAACCATATTATTGTATCCCCCGCGACGAAGTCGGCGGGGATACTATGGTTTCATGTCTGTCCAGCCGCCGCCGCCGCAGACACTTTCCCTTCCGCTCTATAACTCAACCCCTAATTGACCTAGCGTGACCAAACAGTCTACTTACACATCTTGGGGAGAAGGTGCGCAGCGTACCAAAACCACGTCACTGCGGCTTTTATTTGACCTTGACCTTGATCATATTTACCTTCCGCTCTATAACTAAACTCGGCCCCTAATTGACCTAGCGCGACCAAACTTGGTATACTTACACATCTTGGGGAGGTGTGTCGCGTACCGAAACCAGGTCACTGCAACCTTTATTTGACATTTACCTTGACCTTCATCATATTTCCTTTCCGCTCTATAACTCGGCCCCTAATTGACCTAGCGCGAGAAAACTTCGTATACTTACACATCTTGGGGAGGTGTGTCGCGTACCAAAACCCCTAAGGCAACCAATTTTAACATACTTGCACATCTCAGGCAGATGAGTTGTGTAACAAACCTTTGTCTTTGTGACTTATTTAACTTTACCTACCTTCTACGTCCTTACAGAGATATTTCATTCATACTAGATCACGGGGGATACATATGTATAGTTGGCGACAACTGCCCTTTCTAGTTTTATATGCATAGAGTACCGAAGCTAAATGAGTGCTTGTAATATATTGCATTACTAAGAGTAGGTATCTACCTTGTCTAAAACTTTGAATCAACAGTGTTGACAAGAAGATCAATTATTATAGCCCATACAATGATAAAATGATAAAACAATATCATAGATTCAGAAAATTTTACTGACAATGGCATGTTTGATTAATGTTGACACTTATTCTAATAATCCCTAGCATGCGCACTTGCTATTTGCAAGTCCAATGAACTGCCAATTTGGAATGATAAATACTAATTTAGAGAAATATCTGGTCTTTTTGCTGTTTCGTGCTAAATTTGCCAAAGTTCGCATGCTTCCATTATTAATTGAAGAAGGATTGATAAAAGGTTATCAATCTAGTAGCATGTATGAAGTTAAAAAATTTATTTACTAAACTATTTTTTTAATATAAAATACATAGTATGTCAATGGTAGTAAAATTTACACCATGCTATGATATAAAATGTTGCTCTGACTTTGGCCACATGTTCAGCATGAACATTTGTGTATGGCTTAATTTTACCACATTTATTATGAACTATATTATTCTCCACATTTTCCCATTATTCTCTGTGAAGCATTAGATGGTAATGGGCTCTAATTAGACTAGTTAAAACATGACAGAACATTTGGTTTAACAGCCAGCACCTCGTGTAGCCATGAAACGTTAACATTCAGTGAAAAACCAACATCTCACTGCTACTGGCATTTCAGATATTATAAATTCGATCCTTATATATCCACAACTGCAAAACCTGTAGTCCGAAGTTTATCTATACGCAGCTTGACACAAGTTCCATCTATTTACAGTACAAAAGAATAATAGGCCACTATCCTAGTGCAATTGGCTTTTAATTACACTTGCCACTGAAAAATAAAGAAAATATATTAAAAACACGTTATATAACAGACTTTCTCCAGTGTTAAAAGTATTATAAGCTTATAACAATGAAAAAATATATGCAGAAACTGAATCTATTTATAGAAATTTACGAATGCAATTCGTTCGTGCGTATTCGCTACGTAGGAAATTACACGATTAGGAGTTGATGCAGAGTCGGCTCAATAATGTACCTTTAGTGGCATATCACCACCTTCGCCCTGCGGTGCTTTGTTCTCAATTTCTTGGCGCCTTTTCTGCTTTTGCTTCAATTTCTCGGGATCCTTCACCCCGCGACCTTCAAGTTCCTTTTGCCTTCTTTCTGCTGCTTCAGCGGTTTGCCTTCTCCTTGTTTCCTGGGAATGCCAAAAAGTACAATACCATTGTTTACATTAAGCATGTACGTGACGTTTGAAAGACAAATGGAAAAGGAAATTAAAAATCCTATAATGCTAGTTATAATTGCAATTCGTTTCTGTGGTCACGTTCGCATGCTATGAATAATAGTGGTCCTGCATTACCACCTACAAATTATGCCAAAAAATTCTTGACACTCCTAGCGAATCGCAACAAATCCATTGACCACCATAGCACGAAAATCTATGTAAACTGACCATCCACACACGTTGACCAGCTCTCAGCTTACTTGTATGTCGACTACCTCAAGCCAACAATATTAGGACATTGAACATCCCAGTACGGGACCCACTCAGTATGGCAGTGATAAGCTATGATACGACCTGTCTCTGCAGAGCTACGATATCATATGATATCTAGGTTGCGTTGCATGCTCAGACTTCTAGGATCTGAGTATATTGCAAGGTTCTGGCACTTCCCTGTAGCTTAGCCTAAAAACTATAACCGTGAAGCCATTTGCTCTGCCACAGGGGTTTATAGCAAAGTGTAAAGGCAGCTGGTGGGCTATCTTTGCAGCATAGCATACCTAGGGTCCCTATATACAGAGAGTTGCGCCATGACGAGTCGGAAAACTATCGGTCACGTGGTCGCTAGACGACATGTTGTTTCCAAATAGATACGCACGGCTATGGCCGTAAGAAAGTGTACAATTAAATTATCATATGGCGCAAACAATTTGAGTTACATTTCTAGAAATCTAGATACACATAGACACATGTCTTAGCTATAATCTATGTAAATTTTGAGTTTATTGAAGCACGATTAGTCTAATTAATTACTACGGAATA